TCTTGTTTACTTCCTAATAGGTGTACTCTCTGTAAAGCTTATGGGGAAACTGGTTACCACCTTATGGTTACTTGTTCGATCGCTAAAACAGTATGGGAGTGGGGTTTTCCCTCTTTGGGTGTATTTGGACTCACCCTGGGAGTGTCCAAAGCTTGTTCTCTTCTTCATTTTTCAGATGGCCGAAGAAGAGAGGGAAGATTATGTGGAGAAGCATTAGGGCAGCAATTGGCCCCTATGGGAAGAATGAAACTCACGAATATTTTCAGACAAGGAAAGATCCTTGGAAGACTTGTTAGATCTAATACTTGTAAGGGTAGTCCACTGGCTTGAAAACTATGGAGCTGTTCTCCAGTTATTCTGTGGCTGATTTGGTAAGAAATTGGAAAGAGAGCTTCCTCTGCCCTATGTAAGAGGACTCGTAGTCCTTCTTGGTCCCCTCCTCCCCCTGGGTTTATAAAACTGAATTTTGATGGTAGTTGTTTAAGGAATCCTAGGCCTTCTGGGATCGGGGGAGTTTTCAGGAATGAGGATGGGGTTATCACTGCCATGTTCTCAGGCCCAATTGGAGAAGGAAACTCTCTTAGGGCTGAGATTCTTGCAGCCCTGTAAAGTACCAAAGAGAAAGAGATTTGAACATCAGATGTTTGGTCCTTGAAGGTGGCTCGGAGGTGGTGATTAGGTGGCTAAAGGAAGAAGACAGCAGTTTGTGGAGTTGTAACAATGAGAAGAAAAAATTCAAATGGCTGAGTAGGGATATTGTGTTGCGTTACAGCTGGGTGAAGAGACTGCTAACTCAGTTGCTGATGGATTAGCCAAGCAAGGGGTGAATAGGGAATTTATATTTTGGGCTAACTTTTGACTTTCTTCCAATGTATTTTGTTGGTGGGGAGTTAAGACATTTTACCTCCCCCCTTTGTACCTAAAGTTTCACATAGTTTCATATCATTGATAAAGTTTCTTGTTACTGATCAAAAAAAAATAATAATACAAAGAAGGTACAACTAGAGCTGCTTGGCCCAATACCTCAACACTGCCCCTCAAACTGAGCATAGATATCAATCATGCCCAGCTTGCTTATATAATTTTGCAGCTTGGCCTTGGGAACTCCCTTAGTGAGAATATCTTACAACTACCCCTTTGAAGCAACAAACGATAGACAGATATCACCAGATACCGTTCTCTACCGTATCAAATGTCTATCTACCTCAATATGTTTCGTCCTATCATGCTGGTTGAGGTCATGAGCTATATTGGTAGAGAATTGATTGTTACAATACAGTACCACTGGTTTGTCATAGCTAATACCCAACTCTAGAAGAGATCTAAAGCATACTAATTCCAACAACCAATGAGCCATTGCTTTATATTCCACTTCTATTGAAGATCTTGCCACAACATTCTACTTCTTACTTCTCCAAGAAACAAGACTACTAGCAACCAAGATACAGTATCCATACATAGACCTCTTGACATCAATACTACCTGCCCAATCTGCATTTGTAAACGCCTCTATCCTCCTATGTCTATGGTTAGCAAACAAGAGACCTCTTCACGGAGATCCCTTAAAGTAGCATAATGTCCTTTCAGCAGAAGCCAAATGAGTGTCTCTAAGGGCGTGCATAAACTGGCTTATCGTACTCACCACATAAGATAATCAGGCTGCGTCATACATAGGTAGAATAACTTCCCAACAAGTCTCTAAAACACTCCCCTATCAGCCAACAACTCCCCTTTTGTGGCAGACAACTTATGATTTACATCAATAGGTGTAGAAACAGGTTTGGTCTGGCACCAAATTTAGTAGTTTCACTTAACAAGTCAATCACATATTTCCTCTGTGAAATAAAATGTCATCTTTGGGCCTTGCCAATTGCCACTTCAACACCCAAAAAATATCACAACTCACCAAGATCCTTAATTTCAAATTCTATACTGAGAAAAACGCTTAAGATTCCCAATCCCCTCCACATCATCCCTAATAACAACAATATCATCAACATAAACAATAAGAATAGTAACTATTGCATCTCCCCTCTTTACAAAGAGGGTGTGGTCAAATTAAGTCTGCACATAGCCAACACCAACAACAGCACGAAATCTCTCAAATCAAACTCGTGGAGGTTACTTGAGCCCAGTGTTTTAAAAGCGCAAGGCGCAAAAAAAGCACAAGGACCAATTTGCGCCTGAGGCACAAGGTGCGTGCCTTTTTGAAGCAAGGCGCATATTACCAAAAAAAAATGCTAAAAACTAAAAATATGTCAAAATTTCAAAAAAAATGCCAAAAGTTAAAAAAAATGCAACAAAAATTCAAAAAAAAAATATTAAGCATAATGGTAATAAAAAATATAAACTTAAATTTTAAAATAATTTTTTTAAAAAACCTATTATCTAAAATTAAAACACATAAACATAACATGTAAAGTGTATTCAAATGAAAATTTAAAAATAAAAGCAAACATATAAAGCATCTTCAAGCATGTAAAATCCACAATCTCTTTTTTTCCTCAATTGCATTACTTCAAGTGGCTAATTTGATGTAAAACATATTGCATTCTTGATTCTATGAGTCGCCTTTGTACCAAGCCCCTCAAGGCAAGCCCAAACAAGTCCATGTTAGGGTCTTAAATTCTTATTTCTCACATAAAAAATAATGATTTTGTAACTTTAATTGCCTTTTAAGAAGATATTTTATTGAAATGAATGAATGAACAACATTAGCCCCAGCCCAACCATTAGGCTCAAAAAAGAAAAGCAAAAAGCGTAGAATTTTAAAAAGGCACACGCCTAGGATGAGGCGCAAGGTGCATCAGATGCGCCGCATGTGCGCCTAGGCACGCCTTTTAAATCACTACTTGAGCCCATAGAGATCAACAAACCTTCCCTACTAACTCCTTACCATACATACCTAGAGGAAGAGACATATACACTTCTTCATGGAATTGTATTATAGGGTGTAGGGCTTGATATTGATGTAGGAATTAGGATTATACTCAACGGTTTGAGGCAAGATCTGGGAGGGTTAGGGTGGCTTGGTAGTCTGAATTGTGAATTTGGGGGGGTAGTTTCATTGTGAAATAATGTTCAGGTCTCTAGTTTTAATGATGGGTTGGGGGTTCTTTGTGTTGTTTCTTTTGGGTTCTGGAAGGTTTGTTAGAAATTTTAAGGAAAGGTTTGGGATGGAGGTTTTGTTTTCTTGGGTATTCCTTATCACCTTATTGTATTCTCTTTCTCCTTTTTCTTCAATAAATTTTATTCTTCATTTACTTTCGAAAAAACAGAGCAGAGTTCCTAAAAGTCAGCCTCCTCAATCCTATCTATCTTTCTTTTCTCTTGCATGTTGTTCCTACATTATTCATCCTTGCTACGTCTAAGGCTCTTAACGATTAAAACCATATTTATGTTTTTTCTTTTTTTTTTTTTTTTGATGAGTCAAAACCATATTTATGTCCACATGTATTTGTTTTGCATGGTCGAGAGTTAAAACCATCTTTTTGCATTTAGATGGTATTGTTAGTGGTTCAAGGATCACAAACGGTGATACTTTGGAACCAAAGTTACCCCACCTCCCTTTTGAACACTACATAATGTAATCTATACTCTTCTAATATTTGTATGACATATGAGTTATGTAGTGTAAAGCTCATGCACTGAAAGTGCTGAGAGCCCAGGTTTACACCACATACCAGCTCAACCAACGTGTGGCAGGTTGGGCACATAAAGCACCACATCCACAACAAACCCAATCTCAGGCATGCTTCTTTACATGGTAAAAGGCCCAAAGCCCAGCTAACTGATTATAAATTAAAATCTCAAGCCCATATAATGATATTGGAGTAAACAAACTGAGATCGTAAGCAAATGGGTCAACATTAGATCAAAATCTTACTACTTTTGGTTCATGATACTTCATACACAATCAATTTTCACCATGTGACTTGGAAGTAAAATAGGCAATTCCAAAATTCATTTCATTGTTCAGCAAAGAGAAACCAAGTTCATATAACACTTTTTCCTGCATTTTGTGGTTCAGAACAACTTGTTTCCATTTGCACAAAAAAAAAGAACACTTTTTCATGCACTAGCTGAATACCACCTCGGTTTGACACATCTAATCCGGTACAAAAGGAAGACAGGAGGACGAAAAAGAAGAGAGGGAGGGGTGAGGAGACTGTGGGGACTGAAGCTATACAGGTTACGGGGGAAGAGAACACTAAGAAGGGGAAGGTGGGTATTGATCAACTAGTTGACAGACAGGTGGTGATTGGGAAGTCTCTTGGCCGCTGGGGGAAGGGGGTTGAGGAAGGCAATTGAACAACTTGAAAGAAGTGGAAAGGAAGAATATAACAAAAAGAAAACAGTTGAGGAAGGGGTGAGATATGGAAGGAAGGGGAAGGAAGGGAAGAAGAAATTAAGGCTGAAAATTTAAGATGGAGATGGTATCCTGGCATGTCAAAGGATCTGAGAAAAAAAAGATGAAGAAGGTTGAATTGGTTGCAAGTCTTCTTGGTCGATTAGGCAAGCCTGACAATTAATCAAGAGGATCGATGGGGTCATCTTTTGGAAGTCTGGGGTTCAATTTGTAATTTGGACAATTATTTTGTTTTACCTTTGGGTGAATTGTAATGCTTGAGCTTGAATGTAGGTGTTGCCTACAGGCCCTACACTGGGCTAGGTTGTATCACTTTTTTTCCTTTTAATGAATTTTAGTTTTACTTATCAAAAATCAGGTACAAAATTGATGTGAACCTGGTCAAGCAGACTTTGACTTGAACGAGCTATTCCTACATTTATAAAGTGTACTGTGCATTTGGCTCACATTCCATGAACCAAGAGACACAAGTTCACTCACTTGGCAAACATTGATGTTGACAAGCACTTGTAGTTTTAGGAGGATTGTCCAAACCTTATAGGCTCAACTAAAGAAAGCAGAACCGAGAAGATTATTATAATAAAAGATTGCATGTTGAGTAATACATGAAAACTCAAGAAAAGAAACTTACATAGACTCATCATCTGGGTGGGCAATAACCAGCAAGATATTTTTCTTCTGAGTAAATCCACCTGCTTTTGACATGGTACCACACCTAATCAACAAATGCCAAGGACACCGAAAGCATCAAATGGTTCAAAATCACATATAACACTAACTTACCATCCAAAAAGCTTGCAACCTTGGATGCAGAAGAAGATGCATGAAGAACTTTGCACAGAGAAACTACCCAAAGTAAAATCATTAACATGGCAATCAAAAACCAAGCCATCTAGTATAAGCCCTGAAAACACACACAAAGAGTATAAGACAAGTGCAAATAAGTTTCATTCATGAGAGCGGTATTTTAATATTTGAACAAATTAATATATATATATATATATATATATTAAAACATAAGAATATGCACATCTAGATTTTAAAAGAAATGAAATGTTTCAAGAAGTGTATTAGCTCAATTGATTAAAACATTGTTATTTTAAACACAAAGTTTGTGGTTTCAAGTCCTATACAGTACCTAGGCTAAGATACCAAGTACCTAAACTATTTAAACTCCCAAAACAATAGTCACAATATTGTGAACTACCTATATGAATAGAAGATTAGAAACTAAACATGCCACTTGACATACAGATACAAGCATGCTAAAGTATATAAATATATATAGACATATGCGCATGCTACTTTAGGAGCACCACTAGGTGCCATGATAAAATCTTGGGCAGTCGGCCAACAAAACCATCCACTTTGTGCAAATAATGCCAAAGGTTAGGACCACATCCAGTTCACCCCTTCCAAAACCCCAAATAGTTAGGACCAACATTGGGTAATTGCCCTCATACAACAAGTCTACTTTCACTAAACCACATTATGTCTTTGATAATTTGGATGTATGTGTAGGGAGAATGACCCTCTCATTACATTCAAAGCTCTTCGGAATGGATTTTCAATTCATCTTTCACCCTTGTTTTGCCGTTCACAGAAACTATAACCAGAGCAATTAGAACACGTTATCAACCTTCAACAATGGAGGCTATGTTCAGGATTTCTTCAACGCCCTCGCCAATTCCCTCATTCGGTTCTTTTGTCGTCAAGAATTCAAGGTTTTGGCTCAAGGGAAGAGAACCCATCAGAAAACTCAGTGCCATCTCCCACGACGGCCCGGTTCCTTGCAATAGTGCGAATCTGGTTTGCTTTTCTTACTCTTCTTTTCCTTTTGTTTACTCGTCTTCCGTTACTCTTCTTTACCATAAAACATGTTTCTTTTTTAAATCCTTGGAAAATTTGGGATTATTTTTTGGATAAACAAAACTTTCATTGATCAGAACAAATTATACACAGAAGGGGCTAACCAGTCAGGCGGATCAAGCCACGGTATACAAACATCATTTAAAATTTTTTGCCTTCTGAACCAACATATGTGCCGCTAGAAAAATAAGAATAAGAATAAGAACAATCGTAGCGAGACAGAGATGAGAGATACAGAATTCAGTTGATGAGAGATACAGATTTTCAGAGTTGATGAGCAGAATGTATGTTGGAGCTAACACGACACACCAGCGTTTCTTCTACTCTCAGCCGGCGTGAATGACGAACGAAAGACTCACAGCGGTGTATGGAATGTGAAAATGAAAAAAAAAAAAAAAAAAAAGAACGGAGAAGAGAGGGAGAAAGAGAGAGGAAGAAAAAGAAATAAAAATCAGTGAAGGGAGGGGTTCCGTTCGCCGTTTCTCTTGCTCTGTTCGGAGGTTGGGGATGATGGACAGTGACCTTCCTTCGAGTCCGGCTTTGGTTTCACAGAGAAGGGACGTCACGCTAAAGTTAGAACTGACCGGAGAGGGGGAAGAGAAGAAGACGCTGCCGCCGGGATCGAGAGGTTTTTGCCGCTGAGTCGCCGCCGCTCTGCTTTCATTCGAATGGGGGAAGACGATGAACAGTCGATTATCTCCCCTCTCTGCTTGGGGCGAAAATGAAGCATTCGACTCCTGTTAAAGAACACCAGGGGACTTTTTGTGAGTTTACAAAGAATTGGGATAAAACTGAAATTTGTAGGATTGGGTCAAAACCGGTCCAGGGGGTTCAAGCAGGGTTTTTAATCTGGACATTTCTGGGTCCAAGAGTGGAAGGTCGAGATGAAACTGATCACAAAGAGGGGGGTTTACAAGTATGGGCCAATGAGATTGGCCGAAAAGGAATCTTTTTGTAAAAGTGAAGCAAATTGGGGGATTTTTAGCTGAAATTTGGTAAAGTGGGTTTTGGGGACTGGTGGGGTCAAATTGGCCCAACTAGGCTCAAATCGGGAAGATCTGGAAAAGGCTCGATTTGGTTAATATGAAGCTTTGAAATAGAATCTATAAGTGATCAAGGGGTAAACAGGGTCTGCTTTGGATGAAACTTCTCAATGTAGGGTTTTTGGGTAGTCTGAGGTGATTGGTAAGGTCAGACTAGCTCAAATAGGCTCAGATTGGAAGGACTTGGCATTCGGTAAATTTGGAGCCTTAAAATAGAATATTAGTGCGGTTGAAGGGTAAATAGAGTTATTTTGGGCTGAGATTTCACAGGTGGATATTTGGGGGTGTTCAGGATCTGGTGATGGGGTCTAATCAGTCTTAGAGGGTCAAGATCGTAGGAATTTAGGTTAACAGGATGTTTTAGAATGGAATCTCGATTTGATGAAAGGGCAAATAGGGGAATCCGGGGTTGAAACTTTATGGGCAGGTGTTATGTCTCCAGAGTTTAATGGTGTGGTTTGACTGGTTCGGATGTGTTAAGATGAAGGGAATTTGGGTTCTGAGTGTTTAGGCTAACAAGAGAGGTCAAAATGGAATCTTTGTTTGATGAGAGGGTAAACAGGGGAATCTTGCGTTAAAATTTTACCGATAGGTGTTTTGGGAGGTCCTGGGTCTGATGGTTGTGTATGATCTAATGGCTAAGGTGTAAGTGGGGATCGATCGGGGCTATCAAATAGGTATCGGGTAGGTCCAACGGTGGATTTGAGGCCTTTAGGGCTAAAAGTTGGGTTTTCTGGGTTTTTGGGTGTTTCAAGGAGATTAGGAGGGTCTGATCGGATGTTCAAGGTGAATTGGGTGTTCAGGTGGCAGACTAAGAAAAAATCGGGTGATGGCAACTATATATATATATATAATAAAAAATTATAAATATATAAAATGTTATATTTTAAATAATAAATAACATATCATATATTATAAATATATATTTATATATATAATGCATATTTATTAATTTATAATATATAAAATATATCTATACTACTAATAAAGGAGCGAATAGCCCCATTTTCTGGACTTTTTATTAGACATTTTTACCCCTTATCTAAGCAACATACAACTGGCATAAAAAAGGGAATATGTTCTTTACCCTCACTCCAAAAACTGCCCACTTATAACTATTCAAAAACTGTTTATGATTGTAAATAGTTTTGTCTTGAAGATGTTGTCACGTGCAAATGCACGTACATGTTTACTAGTATATATATAAAACATATATAATATACATAAATATATAGAAATATGTGTATACTGGTTGGTTCAGTTAAACGTCGATTTTTTGGTTCAGTTTTAGTCGGTTTGGTTTTTCGGTTTTTTTGCTCACTCCTACTCGGTTGGAATGTGCATCCATTGCCTGATCAAGTCCTCGTGGCTTGCCGTAATCAACTCGTTTGCTCATACATATGATGCTTTTGACACGAGCAAACCCTTCTACTTGACTACATACTCCATCCATGGAGTTGCCCCAGGAAAGGTAGCCATGGTTTCTGCACTAATCTCCTCATATTCCCTACCCTTAAGATATGTGGCTTGCATTGTTGCTATAGTCGTCGATTTGCTCCAATCTTGATCAATTGCTTAGCCCATGCCAATATCCTTGCCTTGGTTTATGCCTACATAAATGACTTTGTCCTTGCTTTGGACCTGGTTGTCGTGTTGTACCGCCCTTCGTTACTTGTTAGAGGTGGCAATTTTCCCCGTCCCCGACAGGTACCCGGGCTCCCCGACCCTGTCGGGGGGTACTTTGGTGGGGTCGGGGTCAGGGATGGGGCGATCCCTGAATCCCCGATCAAGTTCGGGGACGGGGATGGGGAATGCAGTCCCCACCCCAACCCGGCCCCGATTAATATATATAATATAATATTACATATATTATAATATTATAATATTATTCATTTTTTAAAATATTAAAACTTAAAAAACAGTAAAAGTGTAAAGCACAAAACCCTCGACAGTTCAACTTCAAGTCTATGACAAAGAGAAGAGAGAACTCTCAACTCTGTCTCTGGAACAGCTGAACCCTAGCTTCGTGCGTGCCTTCGTCTTCGTTGTTGAATCATCGATTCGCCAACCGCCGTCATCGTCAGAACCCTAGCTTCGTGCCTTCTCGAGTGATAGAGAAGAGATACTCAAAGAAGAATTTCAGTCCTTCAACCTTCATCTACCATCGCCGACCGGTGTCGCTGTCGCCCGTCGGACTCTCTCTCTCGTCACCGACCCCAACTCTCGCAACGGTCCTCTCTCTCTCTCTCTCAGTCTCAATCTCTTTGTTACATTTATTACATACTCACCCAAGCTTACACTGATACACTCCAGTTCGTCGAGGATTCAGGTCTCCGACAGTGAATTCATCCACGTCGGGGTCAGGGATGGAGGGGGGATTCCTTTCCCCGTCGGGGATTAGGGATGGGGATGAAGGGGGGATTCCTTTCCCCACGGGGTATCAAGGACGGGGATGGGGATGATTTGGGGGTCAGGGTCGAGGATGGGGAATGTAATCCCCACCTCGAACCCGCCCCATTGCCATTCCTATTGCTTGTCCACCCCTCTTTGGACTAGATTGGATTAGACCAAATCCAGTCCAATTGGCACCCCTATGGATATGGGCATAGCCTGTAATTGTTAAAGAAGTCCATACCCAATATCATTTGGTAGTTGTCCATTGGCACCATGGTTACATTTATGGTGCCCTACCAGCTCCCTAGTTGGATGCTCACCCCTTGATCAACGCCCTCAGTCTCACGTGCTTGGGAATTGACTGCCTCCACATACATCAAGCCTTGACCCGGTCGTGGTCTTGGTTGCCTCCTTAACTGGCCCCTCTAGCTTCTTAACACTGCAAAGTAATTGCAGTGACCCAATCTTGGCCTCCTTATGGTCATCTTCTTTCTGCCCCATCTGTACTACTAGTGCAGTAAGCGTTCTTCATTGTGGATAGTCACAAGCATAGTGGTTCCCTTTACAAATGAAGCAACTCAGTTTTGCCTTGCCCTTGTCCTTTGACTTAGGTTGAGTGGCCTTGCCATCCCGAGCATTGGTCTAGGCCCTCTTGCCCTAGTTATCACTTTGCTTTTCCTGATCGTCCCTATGGTTGTAGTGATCTCCCCCACCTATACCATGGTTACCCCTTATAAACTTGGGATCCATTAAGCTACCCATGTTGCTCTCCTCCAACTTCTCCACCTCGGCCATGCCAGTGGCTAGGTCTTGCACGCCCCTGCGTTGTATCTCCATTTCCATCCATGGTTGGAACCCACCCATGAAGTTGAACATAAACTCCTTGCCAACCATGTTGGGTATCTCAAGCATGAGTGTGGAAAACTCCCACACATAATCCATAATCAACCTAATATGCTTAAACTTCCTTAGGTCACGTCATGCCAAGTACTCTACGTTCTCTAGATAGAATTGATGCTTGATGTCCCACTTGAACTCATCCCATGTGTCAATGTAACACTGCCCCTTCTCCATGTCTACACAACACCACCTCCACCACAAGACAATTGTGTTATGATTTTCTTCCTTTGTTATTCTTTTGCTTTATTAGTTACTCTTTGTGCTTACGCTTGTTTGGGAATTCCATGTGGACCCCACTTAATTGACACAAGAGGGGGTGCTTAACCCTTTCCCTCTCCCATCCGAGTCTTACCCGAATTGGTGTAATCAATGCCTTGGGTCTTGGAGTCACTATAAAATGATAAATGATTTTTATGCCATTCTCGAAGGTCCCATTACCTCCATTTCCACAACTGATTGGTGGTGACTCCAAATCAGCCCAAGTGAGCCATTTTTTGATGCTCACACCAACTAGAATGAATCAAAATTCACAGGTATTCAATCATAGGTGGAGGTGTGGGTAAATAAAATTGAAAAACTAATAGTAGTTTAAGCAATGAGAGAAAAGAGAGGGAAAATGAATATAAATAAAACCTATTGATCCTATCCCTCTTCTTTAACTTGAGGGAAACCCGTTAACAATGATTTTTTTTTTTAAAAAAAAACAAGAACAAGAAACAACATGGATAAGTTTTCCAATCCAAAAGAAGAGGATTAAGTTCCTCCTCCTCTTTCATGGCATTGTCAAGGAAACCAAATGAGGAGTAAAGCATATTAGCAATTTGATCTACAATGTGACCAAAGTAGTTTCCAAAATCTTCCTTGAGAATGTGGTCCACAATGTTGCAACCTACACTAAGAAAGCTCATCGTAAAATTGTTATAGTGATGGTCATGGTTTATACTCTTAATAGGCAAGGTAGGAGTCTTTGTGGAATTGATGGTTAGGGTTTTCAAAAGAAAAGTCTTGCTATCAAGAAAAAGAAAGAGAACAATTGTTTTCTTTTCCCTATATTATTTCTTCCCTATTTGAAAAAGGCTATTTTGGTGATATCTTTGTTGGTTTTACAAGGAGATACGGGTGCAAGTCAAGAGGGCTAGGCTAGGTTTTTAACTCAACCCTAAGAATTAGGCCTAAAGGCCGTACTCAGACTGAGCCCAAGGTTAAGCCTAAAGTTATTTTTTTTAAGTTAGCCCACAATAAAAATAGATATAAATGTATGTGTACATGTATGGTTTACCAAAAATATGCATTTATGGATGTATATTATCGGGCCAGGCTTGGGTTAGGATAAGGCCAAGCTAGGTTCAAGCTAATCTTAGATATAAATATATGTGTACATAAAATAAAGAAGCTCGATCTTTTGGGCTCAAG